TGCCACCGGTTTAGTCCGGAAACTGGCGGAAAGCGGCCCCCAGGTGCAAAAAATTGTTTGCCTAGGTCCCCCAGTAGTGCCCTTTTCCCCTTCTAAAATAAACTAGAGAAAAAGGGTACCCTTATTCTAACCTCTCTACTGGAGGACCTAGTTGCAGTAGGTAGACATATCCCCTACAGGATTGAAAGGAGGTGATGCGTTGGGTTCACTATATCCAACTTTCCATAGGACTAAAATGTGTTTCGTAAGCAGAAGCTGCTCACGAAGGGTCTCACCATCCATGGCAATTCCTATGAGAAACGAACTGGGCCTGGCTCCTGTTGGGTGTGTTGCTGCTTTAGTGTCGGGCCTTTGGGTTTCCCACCTTGCGCACGCAGGCCTTAAGACGTCTTCGAGAACACATGCAGTGGATTACGGTTTGCACGTGAACCCTCATCTAACCACAAAACCCTGGCAAATTGCGTTAGATTACAAGCTGTCCACCTACTGAATCCGCGAATGCCGAGGAATGCACTCAGAGTTCATGTTTGGACGATTCTGTTGGGCACTTGCGATTCCTTGCGAAGTGCACGTGATCGGCACATTCGCATCATTCGCAGCATTCGCAGCAGCGCCTTGTGGTTTCTTTGACTGCACCTATACGTGAAAGGCCCCCATCATTTTTGCGTATAGTGCGCATTCGCAAAGCCGAAGGTGCGCAGCTGAGTCATTTCTTGGTCAACAGGGCGCTTCGACTTCCGCGCCTTGCGCCAGGCGCTGGAAGAGGAGGGCTTCAATGACTATGCCTACGTAGACGTGTCCTAGGCTCAGGCAACGAAGACCTGCCCAGTGCTTGTATGCGGCCCGAAACTTCCCCTACCCCGCGTGGGACAGGGGAAGCTTGGTGCATTTGGAGAGTTGTTTTGGGCGTTTCCGGGAGGTTGGTGCAGTTTCATGCTTGTTAGTACGGTAGCGCAAGCATTCCCGTAAATTGAAGCGGCTGCATGGTCTCGTGATGCCTGATCACGGATTTCGTGTAGACCTCTACGTTGACAGGTTTTGGTTGTGACTGGCTCTACTTCCTGTTGGAGGTTGCGACTTGGCTCCAGGTCCTGCGCCTGCCCCCACCTTCCAAACCAAAACGGTGTTGGAGAAGGGGAGGATAGGAGGCCCCCTGATCTTTTTATGGAATCCCTAAAGGGGGGGGTAGGTACAAGGGGGGTGCCTAGGATTCCTTGGACCCCCCCCCCTTAAGGACTCCATAGATCTTTGGAGGTTCCTTGCTGTTTCCCTCTGAACCCCCTACTTGGTGGTTTGGATTCGGATGTAAACCCCTGTCTCTTGTAGAGGGTAAATGGTTATGGGTCAAAATTGAACCACTAGGGGGCCACAGGTTTTAGCCAATGGTTCCATTTACCATGGTTCCAGTTTGGGTACCCACTTTTGACCCACAGCCACATGGGCAAGCCCTCCGTTTCACCACCAAACCACCACATTCGGCTCCAAACCTGGCCACCCTGAGGCTGAAATACCCGGAGGTCCGCGATAGCGTGAAGAAGTTCTCGGACTGGCCCACCATCCCCCAGTTGTACGTGTGCCGGCCTGAGCTTTTCGCAAGGAGAACCGCGTTTAACAGTTTACGTCCATTTGCTTAAGAACATGTCTTATTTTCCCATGTTGGTTTTAAAGGAAATTGTCACTACTGTAAGAAAAAACCAAAAACAACTTGTCGGGGGTCTAAACCAAATGGAAGTTTAACAGTCTCACTCCCTGAGTTCTTGAAGACTTTTAAAAGCTTTGTCAGACCGACCACATTTGAGTGGCAAACGAAAACGTTGGACTTGTTCGGCCAATCGGGAAGCGAGTATTTGGTTGAATTTCGGTGTGGCCCAAGGAACGTGGTTTTGCCAGGCCCGTTTAGTCCTGGAGTCCTGGATAATCTTTGGGCGTTGTGCAAGCCCACCTTTTTGAGTGCCCTGCATCGTGTTCAAAGGAGTCCCAGAAAAGGTCCTCCTTTGGATGGTTTAGAAACGACACCATTTTTTCTGCCCACTGCACGAAACACGCCTTTGAAAGACGCTTGGCAAACTTTCCCCGCTTCCTTGGAGTTATTATGCAAGTCAGACTTGAGCCGCTCACCTGGAACCTACCACTCAAAGGCAAATACCTTTGATCCATTTGGCAAGGCTGTATCCCATTTTGACCTTCGAAGCTTGATAGAAAGCCCCTTGGGCCTCCACAAATATCGCCCAAGGGCCACAGAGCAAATTGCACAACCACTGCTTTGGGTTGTATGGCGTGCTCGCCGGGGTTTCATGAGACTGGCTTTGCTCGTAGGGATCCCGCCTTTTAGGCGCACGGCTGGTATTCACTCAGTTCATGCTTACAACTCGAAACCAAAAGCAAGAAGCAATCTCTGAGGCGGGCGAACCTCATCCAGGAATCATAAGAATTGGGGGCTGCCTCACCGGACCAGCCAACGCTGAACCACACGTTTCACCTGGGCATGTTCATGGCGTCCTGGGCAAATGGTCCTCGGGAGTCGCTCAGGAACGCTGAATTCATTGGGGGCTGTGACATTGCGCCGGCCTTAGCTTTTCGCGAGGCTGGTTTGGCAGCTCTGCCATTCAGCGCACCTTACACAGTTCAATGTGGCATGCCCACTTGCTTTACAGCGTGTTGGACTTCTTGTAGGGGTTGGGCAAAATAAGTCTGCACCAAGTTGAACCACACCAAACCATTATCTGTTGGTATTTGCCGGGGACTCATCATTCCAGGGTTTCTTAGGCGGTGCGAAATGGATTTCGTCCATCCCAGGTCTAAACAACCGGACTGGGCTTAGTAAACCAAAGGCGGATGTTTCACGAGCGGTGGGAGCCCCAGGCGAGGCATTGTCTCCGGGGCTGCGGGGCTCCCAATAACATGCGAATGCCCACAAGGGTGCCTATACGGACCAGAACTGCGTGGTGTGTTTCTTTTCCCTTGGCACGTGTCACTCATAGTTGTCGCATTTATATGTAAAAAGCAAAAGTTCTCACTGGCGATTGGCAAACTTCGAACCTTTTGTTGGCCGATGGCTTCATCGTCTTAGCCAAGAGCAAGACTTAAGTTCTGGTTTCGCATTTTTCTGGCCGACTCAGCAGGCTCCTTTGCAGCTTCAGATTCAAGGACTTGATGGGTATTTGGTAACACGTCTTTGGCCTTTGCACCTTCTGGTTGAAACAGGAACCAGATTTCCGGTTTTTGGACCCACAAGGTTTGCCCTTCCTCCCATGAACATGGCACTTGTCAAAAGGTACCTGGAAGATGAGTTTCCCCTTAAAGGGACCCTGTAGTGGGAGGGAGGGTAACATTTTGTTTGCAGAGAGGGGTCGTTACAGCCAAAAGGATGCGCTGAGGTCATGCAGATGCACAAAGACGGAGAGCTCAAAGCCATTCTCCCGAAGACCGGCTGAGACAGCTCAAGCGCCGGCGTAGGTGTAGCCGCGGTGACCTACCTCCAGTGTCTGAGAAAACTAGAAGCGTTCTGTTCACCGATTTCTTCGTGTTTTATTTTTTGGGGGGGGAGCAAACAAACAGAAACTCATCTCAACAGGCCAGCCTCGCATTTGCAACCAAAGCGACCGGACCCGTTTGGCCTGCCCAATGTTAGCAATATTATTATCAGTTTGGACTACCCAACCCCAGTGCTTATCCTTAGTGGAATCTCCTTTTGTGAAAGGGGAGTCCTAGAATTTGTGTTGGCCGAATATGCTTCTGGAATCTGGACCTGATTTCGATCCAACTGGCTATCTCATGAAATTGCTCATTCATTCTAAGTCATTGTTTTATGTTTGCAGTGGAATCCTGGAGGCCGAAGCAAAACTACGCGCCACCTTGGATTAAATGACCCTGCCTTCGGGCAACCCAGAAAGGCACGCTGAGCCTACTATTTGTTTGGCTTGGCACTGCAAAAAGGACCTCTTGGTAGCTAGTCCGTGTTTGGAACCACTTGGAAGATATCGCAAGACTACAAGAGGGTCCACGGTATTGGCTGGCTGAGATGCAGGGGTTGACCTCAGAAAACACGTCGGTTTTATACAGGCCAAGTTTTTTAAGCCACCTTAGCACGTCGCATTTAACATTTATCAGCTGGATTTTGTGCGGTGCCAACATGGGCCAATGGACTACCACTTTCCGAGGGGCCCGGCCACGCAAGGTCAAAGCAGCCCCTTACCGAAAATCGCCCCTAGCCTTTCGAGGCATATATGAGTCTGCTAACGAAATTTGACAAAACACATTTAAACCAAAAAAAAAGAGCCACCAGGACAAAGTTCATACCCTTGTTGAGGGGTGGCCCAGGTTCCTTGCCCATGGATCGACAATCCTGAAAGGATTAGCCCCTAAAATAGGGCTGTGACCAGACAAGGGCAATCAGAAGCGCCTTATGGCCCACGAAGTGCATTTTATTTGGATAAAATGCGGTACTCAGCCTGGCCTTTTTGTTTTCCCTGGGGCGTGGGTGTCCGCATTTATTAGGGTGCCGGCGCATGCTAGCCAAACCCTGGACTGCATTTTATCAACCAACATAATGGGGTCCCCACGCATTTTAGCCGGATGAAGTGCGGAGCCAACCCTGAACACGAGTACAGGCCCCTGTCACACAGGACGTCCTGCGCCGTTGATGCATGAACGTGAAATGCACAATGGCCAAGCTGGTCACTGCGCTCGGGCCATTCGTAGCCCCGCCGGTACAGGCACGGCAAACCCGAGTAGACAAGAGAAAAAGTGGCCCGCAAGACCCTCAGAAGGTAAGTGAAGCATGCGTCATGACCATTGGGAAGGCAATGTTGTACCAGCGGTGATCTTGTCCCAGGATTAAAGCCCCTGGTTGATGTTGATGGGAGGTTTCCCATTCAAGGTCACTCTTAGCAAAGTGACCAACCCCCCCTACGAATCTGCCAAGTTCAGGGTCGTTTGTTCATTGCCACGGTGACAGTGACTTCCAGCTCTGCGCGTGACTCACGTTGCCGGCACTTGAGGCCCCACATACGAGGACATCAAGAGCTGGCGACCCAGTCGGTTTCAGAAATGGCCGGTGCAAAAGAACGGCGAGAATGCAGCGGAGCAGCAAATAGCCCGCAACTTCTTACCTCTGGGCCTCCGGGCCTCCGCAACTACCCAGGTGTTCTGGGGGGCCTTGGTTCATTGGGTAGTGTCAGTTGCAGTTTGTGTGTGGCTCCATGGTATAAAGGAGGCATTTGAGAGTAGGCATCGCTTGCGAGCTTGCCGGAAGAGCACGCGTATGTGGTGGGGTGGGGGAGTTGAATTTGATGGCACCTTTTTCGGGACTAACCAAAGCAACCGCCCCCCCCCAAAAAATAAAAAAATAAAAAATGAGGGCAGTCCCCTTACTTAAGGACAAGCCTATCCAGGAGCTTGGACATGCCCACGCTTGGAGCTTTCCGTCATAGCCACTAGGACGCATATGCACGACGAAGAACCCTAGGCCGGTACCAATCCCTCTCTCCAAATTCCAGATTAGAAGAGAGTTGGCAAGCTTTTCGGTGACCGACTTTATGTTCCAGGCACCACCACATGTTCCCGGTCACCCCAATGAAGTTACCCCCCCTTCCCAAAAAAAACAATCAAACAACGCAAAGCGATACACATCCCAAGAGGAAACCAACAGGGAGCTTCACTGTTGTTGGCATGTGTTTGGGTTTCATCATGATCATGTTTTCTTGCTTTGTTCATTTTAACCCTGGGCCTGCCCAAAAAGAAGGCATCGTTTTGGTTGCTCCCATGCCAGTGGGGTTGTACCGCTTGAAGTCTTTGGCCATCTCCAGACACATCCCAACGAGCGAGGCATGGAGCTCCTGCGGCTGACTATGGCCGAGTCACTGCGCATGTGCCCCGTGGGTGGCCACTGGAAGGTGGGTGGCCCCTATGATCGCTGGCATCCAACTCTGGCGCTGTGGCGCGCTTGGATTTGGTTTTTTGGAGCCCTTGCTTGAAGCCCTTGGTTTTTGGATTCTTGGAGTTGAAATTCGGGTTCTTGTGGAGGGTTACCACCACCAAACCACCAATTGGAGGGAAGCTGATTGTATCCTGAGAGCGTGGCTTCCCCCGTTCTTGTCTTGGTGGTTGCTTTTGCCGTAGGTAAGAATGTTCTTCACTGCTGTTGGCACGTTGTTTCAAGCTTTTTGATTGATTGGTTCTGTGGGATTTAGTAGGCAACTGTAAAAAACGAAGTTGCTTGTCACCATACCAAGAGTTGGAAAGTAGTAGTTCTCTGTGGAGAATGGGGTCCATCGAAAGTCAACGGAAAAGGGGGTGCCTGTTTCTGTTGACGCATCATTTCGGGGGCTTGCGCCGTCGGAGTGTCGGCAACTTATTGTGCTCAGACCTTCAGATTGGCTCGGGCTACAGCTGAGTTAGGCACTTTGTTCCCTGACACTTGTCACGGGCCCCTTCAAGCAGAAATGCGTCAAAAGGCCCTTCTTCGTGAGGTCTGCCGAGTGAACCCGCTGATTCTTCGGGGCCAGCAGTCCAGAGTGAAGATTGGTCTTCGCACCTGGCATGTGAATTCAAGTCCCCACCGGTAAAACTTGAATTTGGGGCTGGGCCGACCCGTCCCTTGAAGATTGCAAATGATTCTAGGTGAATTATAACGACCTCACACGACCTCACACCAAATGGTGGTTTATGTGCGGAATAGCTCCCCAACCACCTTATTTCAGGTTGGTGAAATATTATTCTAGGAATACCTGGAAGCCGTTTGTGTTCAAGAAAAAGGGCGCGTAGCTGAAACCTGGGTTTACAGGTTATGAGCCCAAGGAGGACGCGGTGAAGCCATGGCGTCTCCAGGAGACCTCGGACGGCGAGAACCAGAAGAGGCGGAGGAGAGCCTGGAGCTGGTCGGGCAGGAGTTGGTGCCGGTTGGCGCCAAGGGCAAGGGGAACTCCGGTGAAAAGAGATCCGCGGAGGAGCTCGACACGCCAAGGAGGTCGACTTCGGGAAGAACGGCCCTTCAAGAAGGCTCCCGCGGTCGAGAAGGCAAAGGAGATGGAGAAGAACAATGGGCAGGTGGGCCACGTGGCGACCCTGTGGTTCTGGAACCCTTGTTCAATGAGGCCCAGATGGAGACCCTGACTCGGTGGCGGAGAGAAGCCCCCTTGATTCATGGCACCCGGATGGACCAAGAAAGACCTCGGCATCTACCTGAACCTATGGAGGCGGGTATGGAGCTGGCGGGCGCTACGAGCAGGATGTCGCCGGCGGCAAGAATGCCTGTGGAGAACCAGGAGTACGTGATGCGGCTGGTGAACGAGCTCATGGCGCAGAACCAGTGCCTGATGAGGGAGATTGAGAGCCTGAAGAACGGCAAGGCGGTGGAAGAGAGCTATGGTACCCCGGACAGTCGGGACAAGAGCAAGGTGCTTAGCATCGAGGACAAGAAGAGTGGGGACAACAGCCGGAAGCCCATGGAGGTGATGGGAGGTAACGTGGACGTGAGCTATGGCCAGAATGTGCGCGACCAGGGCATGAACCCGGACATGGCCAACGGCAAGAACAATGGAGGTGAACATGAAGATGATGATGAATCTTCATCAGAGCTGAGGCCGGCATCGGTGGCGGGCAGTGGAAAGAACGGGAAGCAGATGGACGTCATTCTGAAGCTGCTGGAGGGGATGCAGGCCATGCAACAGCAGTTGATGGGTGGTGCCGGGAAAGGAAATCAGGAGACGGTGGAGGTGGTTCGCCCTGGCATCACTGAGCTGCCGAAGCTGAGTGAACCTACGGCGGAGTCAGGCCCCATTGATCTGGGTGACTGGATGATCATCATAGAGCCGCTCCTCGCTGATTTGAGTGATTCGAGCGCTGAGTGGTGGCAGCTCATGGTCACCGAGGCCAAGGAATGGTATGCCCGCTACTTGCAGGAAGTCCCCATCAAGCGGATGAACATGATCCCGGAGACACCTACATCCTTGAAGGTGAAGAAGTGGAGTCGGGTGGAAAGAAGAGCGGTATCGATGCTGATCCAGGCGGTGCCGGAAGGAATCCGTGATGAGCTGATCTCGTCGCAGGCCGTTACGACGTTTGCGGTTCTGTGCAAGCTGATGATCGCTTATCAGCCGGGAGGATTGGCGGAGAAGGCCGTGGTGTTGAGGAATTTGGAGGAGCCAGGGGAAGCTCCATCGGTGGCGGAAGCGGTGAAGGGGCTGAGACGTTGGGTCAGATGGCGGCGACGGGCAGGAGACGTTGGGTTGACCCTGCCGGACTCAAGCATCTTGATGAGAGGCCTGACGAAGCTCACAAAGAAGGTCTTGGAGGCGAACCGGGAGTTGACTTTCCGAGTTTCGTTGGCGAGGAGCACACTGCAGGTGGACTCGGTTCCGACCCATGCGACGGTGCTGCAGTATGCGGAACACTTGCTGGCGGAGCTGGAACAGACGGCCTTTTTGAGCGAGAAGAAGGCTCCGACGAAAACCAGCACGGCAGGAGGAGATACCAAGGTCCGGAAGCTGGAGGAGTCCAAAGAAGGCCGCGATGGAAAGGAAGGAAAAGAAGGCAAAGAAGGGAAGGGCGACGGAAAAGGAGGAGCAAAGGGGAAAACCCCCTGCCGGTTCTACATGTCCGACAGCGGCTGCCGGCGAGGTCGAGGATGTGATTGGTTGCACCCGACGGACGAGACGGCTCGAGGACGCTGCTGGGACTGTGGGTCGACGGAGCACATGCGGAAGGATTGCCCGCGCAAGGTCTCCAAGCCTGGAGGAGGAGAACGGACAACGGCACCGGCAGTGAAGCCATTCAAAGCTGAGGAGGCAAGAGGAGTGGCAGAAACTCAGTCGGTGGTGGACCAGGAGAATGACAAGGACAAGAAGAAGAAGGAGGTGGTGGTAGAGGAGACAGCTGCCAGCTCCGTTACCAAGGTGTTGGAGGAGGCGGGTAAGATGTTGAGGAGCCTCAACAAGACCAGCGGTGTGAAGAATGGGAAAGAGAGGGAAAATCGGCTCGAGATGTTGCAGAAGCAGCTGGACGAGATCCGAGGAGACCCAAGGCTGAATAAGGCCCAGGTGTCGAGTTTGAGCCGAGCCGTTGGTGGATTGCTGGACTCGGGGGCCACTCATCCACTCAGAGGATGCAAACCTTCGGAAGACCTTGAGACCATGGACGAGGTGAGAGTAACCCTTGCCGGAGGTGAAGAGCGGTGGATGAGAATGAGCCCGGGAGGAATCATCATCCATGACGACCCGGATGTGGACCCGATCATTCCCTTGGGAGTGTTGATCAAAGCCCTTGGGTGCAAGGTGGAGTGGTCCGGCGTGGAATGTTCAGTGGAACACCCACGAAAAGGGAAGCTGAAGGTGACCATGAGAGATGAATGCCCCTATGTGGACAGGGCCGTGGCGATGAAGCTTCTCGACGAGCTGGAGGAGCTGAAGACAGAGAAGGATAAAGGTGAAGTGCTGGTACAGGCGCTGATTGAGAAGGAGAGTATCCAGCAGCTGGTGGATTCTCACCCGGTGTTCAAGGGAGTGCCCGACAAGGTGAAGGCCATGTTGGTGGAGGGGCCTGCAGAGGATCTTCGGCATCTACCCTGGAACCGGAGGAGGAGGAGGCTGTTGGAGAAAGGAGGAGATCCCCTCTGGTTGCACCTCTACGCAGGCGCAGAAGAAGGTTATACTCTGTCAAGAGCAGTGAAGGAGCTAGGAGGAGACAACCGGTTCCTGTTGGAGGTGGATATCCAGAGAGGAAAGGAGCACGACATGGTGCGAGGCCCGCTCTACGGCACGCTTTTGAGGCTGGCACAGGATGGGCGTCTGGCGGCAGTGGTTGGAGGACCAAACTGTCGAACGAGGAGTGTGCTGAGGCATTACCCGTTGCCGGAGGCTGGAGGAGGCCCGAGACCGGTGAGGGGGCCCGCGGTGCAGGAGCAGTTCGGGAAGGCAGACCTGACCGAGCACGAAGCTAAGGCGGTGTTCGAGGACGACGTGATGATGTGGAGGATGATGGTCATCTACCTGGCGGCGAAGAAGGCAGCACTACGAAAGGGAGGTGAAGAACCCCATTTCCTCGTGGAGCACCCAGCCAGCCCGGAGAAATATATGCCCGAGTGTTGGTCGTGGTGGCGAACGCCGCAGTGGAGGGCAATGAAAGAGAAGGAGGGCCTGAGTGAAATCACCTTCTTTCAGAGCGTGTTCGGAGGAAAGGCCGCGAAACCTACGACGATGGGCACGGACCTGGAGTTGGCGATCCCTGAGGAGAGCCAAAGCAGCAAAGAAAGGAGGTCTACCCGTACGACCAGAGCTGCAGCAGATGTGGAGGGCTCGAAGGAGCTTGCGAGATGGGCGCCGGGACTGATGCGGTCCGTCGCGAAGGCGTTGCTGGAAGCAACAGGAATCAAGACAGCAGTGAGAAAGCTGTCGTGGGCCGAGCATTTGGCCAACGGCCATACGCCATACAGGCGAGACTGTCGGGTATGCCAGGAAGCATCCGCACAGGGACGAGCACATCGGCGCATCGCTCATCCCCAGGCACACATCTTGTCTGTGGACTTGGCGGGACCTCTGCGTCGAGGGCACGACATCGACGGCAAGAGCTGTAGGTACTTCCTCATGGGTGCCTACACCCTACCTCGTGGTGGAAAGGAAGAGGTTTGGGACGAGGAGATCGACGGATTGGCTCCGGGGAGTTGGAAGGTCCCTCAACGGGTGCAAGCCATGCGGAGGTGGAAGAGGATTGATGAGAATGCGGTATCTTACCGAACCACCCGAAAAGGAGGACCACCCTGGAGGAGCGTGAAGTGGAGAGTCACCGTGGACAATGACACCGGTGAGGTTCTGGAAAGCGTGGAGGTGACGAACCTAGAAGAGGAAGACCTTCATCGACTCTTGGACAAGACTCGCAACCTGAGGACCATCCTGTTCTACGAAAAGGGGACTAAGGGACAGGAGGGGGAGATCCAGTTAGGAGAAAGGGAGGCTGGCGGACTACTGGACCAAGAGCATCGATGGGCGAATGGTCATCAGGGTGCACAAGTCCCACCGAAAAGGGAAGTTCTTCCCGGAGGAGGCTGAAGAGTGTCCGGTCCCCATAGACCAGCTGGCGGATGTGAGGCGCACGGTCGCGAGAAAGGCCAAAGGAGGTGCGTATGAGACGGTGACCGATGATTGGAGAACTGCAGGAGCTGGCGAGCGACTGTTCGAGGATGATTCAAGATGGGCAGGAAGAACAATCTTCATGATCAAAGGAGCGCCTGACCCACCGCCTCGACCAGAATTGGTGATAGAAGCCTCTGGAAGCAGGAGATTGGGACTTTGAGCTGGAAGATGAGGCCAAGGAGTTGGAGGACGCCCAGATGAACCCGGCTGAAGCTGAAGAAGAAGAGGAGGGAGGAGAAGACGAAGAAGGCCTTCCACCACTACCAGTGAAGACGCTGTGGTTCATGATACCTTTGGTGAGCAAGAGCTCGCGAGAGGTTTTGGAGGCGATCCAGCAGATGTACCTCGAGTTAAGACGGGAGAATCTTCCTCTAGCCCGACTTCACTCGGACTGCGGGCGCGAGTTCAAGAATAAGGTGTTGGCGAGCTGGTGCTTGGCAAGAGACATCGCCAAGACATCAACTGCAGGCGATGACTACCGCCAGAATGGCCGTGCGGAAAGGGCAATCAGGGGGCTGAAGGATCGGACCCGACGTCTACTCCACTCTGCTGAGATGGGAGGAGAATACTGGCCATGTGCGGCTAGATATGCAGTCGAGAAGGAGAAGAGGATCCGTCTTGGGAAGCCTGCCGATATGCCGAGATTTGGTCAGGAGGTGTTGGTGAAGAAGAGAACGTGGAAGAGAAAAGAGTGGGATCCATTGAACGAGAAGGCCTACTACATGACCCCGATCGCGGAGGTGCCAAGTGGGCATGCGGTCGTGAAGGATGATGGATCCATCCAAACAGCGGCGTATGTGCTGCACAAGTGGACTCCGATGCCAACGGAAGGGCCAGACTGGAGGTTGGTTGAGAGAGGAGCAGAAAAGCCCCCGCAAGATGAGGAGCCATATGAGCTAAGGAGAAGGGTGAGAGAGAAGACTCCAAGGGAGAAGTTAGAGGAGGATGGAGCGCTGAAGTATGTGAGAAGGCTGGCACAGCTTGCAGAAGAGGAGGAAAAGAACCTGCTCAAGGACGAGCCTGAGGTCGTGGATATCATCGTCAAGAGTATCCAGAGTTTGAGGGCCGAGGAGCAGACAGTCAGAGATGAGACCCCGGAGGCAAAGCTGCACCAGGAAGTGCTGCAGACCAAGATCGTATCGGGTCGGGAGGTGGAAGAGAACTTCGTTGAGTGGAAGGAAGCCATTGTGAAGGAGATGGATTCGCTCATGCTGGAAAAGAAGGCGTTGACGAAACTATCGCCGGAGGAGGCCAAGAGGCTGGTGAACTCGGACAAGAAGGTGCAAGTGCTGCCGGGAAAGGCGGTGTACACCTTGAAGCCGGGTTTGGAGGCTCGGAAGAAGTGCCGGCTGGTGGTGTGCGGAAACTATGGAGACAGCCATGATCAGCAGCAATTGTATGCCGGAGGCAGCGACAGCGTTGCGATGAGACTGGCGGTGAAAACGGCGGCGGTCAGATCATGGGGGGCTACGACACTGGATGTGAAGTGTGCTTTCCTGAATGCCCCGCTGGCAGCGGCTGATGACGAAGGGGAGGTCGTCATTGTGATGAAGCCCCCGCAGCTGCTGGTTCGTTTGGGATTGGTCAAGCCCGGCGAGATGTGGAAAGTGGAGCGAGCACTATATGGACTTAGGCAATCGCCGAGGCTGTGGTCGGACTACCGGGACGACACGATGGAGAAGTGGCGATGGAAGTGGGATGATGGATGGCTGAAGTTGCGGCAGCTGGAGTCTGAACCCAACTTGTGGAAGGTCATCTACGAGGAGAATGGCACGGAGGTCATGAAGGGCCTGGTTGTCGTGTACGTGGACGACATGCTGATACTGGCCAGCGATTCCGTGAGGAAAAGCCTGTGTGGCCAGATAAAGTCAGTGTGGGAAGTGTCGGCTCCGGAGGAGGTCGGAAGTGAAGCGGGAGTGAGGTTTTGTGGGATGGAGCTGTGGCTCGAGAAGGACGGCACCTACCTCCTCACTCAGGAGAACTACATCAAGGACCTCGTGGAGCGGAACGGCATCACGGGAAAGTCGGCAATCCCGATGTCCAAGGATATGGCCGAGCCGGAGGTAGAGAGCGAAATCACGGCGGAGGAAGTGCAAGCGGCTCAGAAGGTAGCCGGAGAACTGCTATGGGTGGTCACAAGAACAAGACCAGACCTGGCGTTCGTGACTTCCAGGCTGGCAAGCCACGTGACCCGAGCGCCAAGGTGGGTGCAGAAGGTGGGCCTCCAGGCGTTCAAGTTCCTCAACGGGACATCGGCGGTGGGACTCACATTCACCCCGGACACCGGCGTGGGTTGGGACGGAGCTGATCGGGCAGGTTTGCAGGTCTACACGGACTCGAGCTTCGCGCCAGGAGGAGCTCTGTCGCATGGTTGCGTGATGGTGAAGTGGCAGAACTCGGTGATCGCTTGGAAGTCCAGCAGACAAGGATTTCCGGCGCTGAGTACAGCCGAGTGCGAGCTCATGGAGATGATCGAAGGCGTTGTGATGGGGGACGCGGTAGACGTTCTCATCAACGAGATCGAGGAGGGCGCGAACTACATGCGGTACCTCTTCGGAGACAATCAGGCAGCGATTCAGCTGTGTGCAGAAAGCACGGGAGCTTGGCGTACACGTCATCTGCGCCTACGTGCCTTTCACCTTCGGTGGAGGATCCAAGCGGATGAATGGCGAGTTCGGCATTTGCCTGGAGTCGAGATGATCGCCGACGTGGGCACCAAGGCCTTGACAGGGGCAAAGCTGAAGGAGCTCATGAAGTTGATGGGCATGAGGGCGAAAAGGGAGAGTGAAGAGGACATTGAGAAGTCAGCCCTGGCGAGACTGGAGGTGAGCAAGTGCCAAGGGCTGGTGGCGGTGTTGGGCTGCTGCATGCAAGTTCAAGGTGCGGCAGCCATGGAGGAGAATCCTGAGAAGAAGGATGGTAGTGGGGACTACGACCACTTGAAGGTCTTTGGCATGCTGGTGGCGGTGTTCACGGTCGCGGTCATGAAGCTGCTAGAGTTGCTTGCGGCAAAGGTACAAGAGCGATGGGGTGGACCGAGGATCCAGAGCATGCGAGTGGAGAAAGTCGAAGAGACAGAGGAGGTGGCTGCGTCATCGTCAACGGCTAGAGGGTCATCCACAAGGAGGACTACCCCGAGGCCTACCTCTTCGGTGGTGGATGAGCCGAGCCCTACGGCAAGACGGCCTTCTACGCCGAGATTGAATGTGGGATCTGAGCAGGATCCGTTGAGGTCCTCATCTGGTGCCGGGACTGGTTCGGGCGAGTTGGGGGCTACAGCCAAGAGGACGACGGCGGCACCATCTATGGCGAAGGGAATTGGAAAGACGCCTGTGGAGCCGAGGGGAACCGCGGCACGGAATGTGGACTGGATCGCGGTCACCAAGGGCTACAGCAAGGGCTACAGCAAGGGGTACAGCAAGGGCTACAACAAAGGAACGGGCAAACAGGCGACAGATCCTGGCAGGGACCTACGGCCTTGGTCGGAACCCCAGGCAGGATCGCGCGGAGCCGATGCTGACGTCAACCCAGCATCGAGGGCCGCAGGGAGTGGTCACCAAGACATTCCCGAGCCTGAGTCGGAGGACGACGGAATCCCGGTGGAGCCTAGCGTGTTCTACACCATGACGGGCGAGAAGTACCATGCCCGCGAGAATTGCTATGGTTTAAGGAGGGCAACTCGGGTCATGGAGACCCTGCCATGCCCGGTGTGCACGACACCGGACTTCAGGCGGCTGCTCTTCGTTCATCCGGGAGCAGTGCACATCACAGGAGATGGCCTGTGGCATGTGCTGGAGACGTGCGCTGGGCGGGGAGTGACCTATCAGCCCTGCGCGAATTGCAGGAGAGGAGAGGTTCAGCGCGGCTTGAGCTA